TATGGAGGGAGGAATTTCAGTGAACGAGAAATATGAGTCAATGGATTACGTGAACGAGAACGATTCGTTCACCTAAAAGATTTGTTCAAAAAGAACGATTCGTTCACGAACGTAACATCACTAAGCAGTAGAGAGTTACTTGTGTACCCTCTGTACTGTCAATCAACCAAAAAAAGTCTAAAAGTCTTTGTTGTGAGCTTTTTATTTAATTACCAACTAAAGGAAATTTCCCAAAACTCCAAACACACTCACACATCGAGGGTTCTGTTTCTGTTCATCAGTTGACACCATGAAACCGAAACACCATGAAAGACCATCAACATGAAATTCCCCCCCCAAAAAACACTCATATACAAAGTCTGAGTCACACAAGTAAACAAATAACTAAAAACTGCTTGGAGGGAACAAAAAGTGAACAGCATCATACACATTATCAAAGGCTGGTTCACAACATTAATCTAACCATACCAACATGGTTAACATGGTTTTCGTTTTTGCATGCAACAAACCAAAAAGTCCAATTAGGCTTGACAGTTTCAGCACACACACGTTTACATGTAACCGAATAATCTGTTTGATGGCTCAATTAGAACGAAAAGCTGAATGTAAACACCTCAATCCATCCTATTGAGCTTGAACCAAATTAAATTTTGATTGTATTGGAAGGGCTGGTCAATAGGTACCCAATCAACAGAAAAAAATTAAGCAAGTAAATGCTTGAAATCAACAATTTTCTCATTCGGATTGAAAAATATGTTCCGCACTCGTGCAGTGCAGTGATCCGTATGTTTACATACAATTTACTTCATGAACGTATGTATGTTTACTTCCATCTTACAAACTGTTCATTGTGAATAAATTGCTATGCGGTGTATAGCATGTTGCCATGCAGTTGCTAGGGTGAAATGGTTGACAGTGCATTGCTATGCGGTTGCTGGGGTGTTTAAGGGGTTGATAGTGCATTGCTATGCGGTTGCTGGGGTGATTAAGGGGTTGATAGTGCGTTGCTATGCTGTTGCTGGGGTGATCTGAATGTTGATAGCGCATTGCTATACGATTTCTGGGGTGATTAAGGGGTTGATAGTGCGTTGCTATGCGGTTGCTGGGGTGATTAAGGGGTTGATAGTGCATTGCTATGCTGTTGCTGGGGTGATCTGAATGTTGATAGCGCATTGCTATACGATTTCGTGGGTGATTAAGGGGTTGATAGTGCGTTGCTATGCGGTTGCTGGGGTGATTAAGGGGTTAATAGCACGTTACTATGCAGTTGCTGGGGTAATCTGAGTGGTTGATGATGTGTTGCTATGTGGTTGCTGGAATGATCTAAGTGGTTAATTGTCAGTAATTAGTAACTGAATATGTACTAAATATTTGCTAAAAAAAACACTTCTGACAGCTGTTTTTAGATCATTTTCATCGTTAGATCATCGTTTTTAGGTCATCAAATGCAAAAATGACAGTGTTATACTCACAGTGAAGTCATCGCACATAAGTTTTGTTCGAAATACAAGAACTGCACGTGTAAACAAATATGTGAATCTGATTTCAAAAATAGGATTCATATAAGCAGAACATTCAGAATCTGAAATTGGAATAGATCTGATTGAAAATTAGTGCTTGTAAACAGCTATTGTGCATTATGAGTGTGCTTGGTAGTGGTTTTCAATCGTCATGAGATGTTTTGAAGTTATGCTAATTGTAGAAAATAGAAGCGTCTCTCTCTTCGTTCAATAGCCTCTGTTCATTGTGGCTGGCACTTGTAGGCGGTTTGCATTCAGAGAGAAATATTTGTGTGAGATGTTGAGCAATTTGTGTGTTTCTATGTGTGTGTGTGTGTGTGTCTGTGTGTGTTTGTGCGAAAGCCAGTCCATTGGTCTTTCACACAGGGTCTTTGTGCTTGAAAAAAAGGCAGAACAGAGCTACTGTAACCTCTTGGTCATGATACACAGAAGGGTCACACACACTTGGATGGTCCTATCACCAACATTTGTCTTTGTGACATGAAAACATCCAACATGATCTTAAACGTCTTCTCTACACACAGTAGGGCATCATAACAAGTACACTGCTCTGAAATAGCCCATCGATTTAAAACGCCCAAGAGAACATCACCACAACCGCTCCATAAACACTGCTAGCATCATAAATCTCAAATGCTAACATAAAAATCCCTTTCCACTACTGAGAGAAGGTCTCAGATGTTCATAAATGCACACAAATGCACAAAAAAACGGGGGGCTTTTAGACTTCTAAAGCTACCACTTGTTGCCAAGTAGTTCTGAGCAGTTGCAATGGGTATTCTGAGTGTTGCTAGGGCAATATGAATAGTGGATATTGCGCTACTGGGGTGATCTGAGTGCTTGATAGCGCGTTGCTATGCGGTTGCTGGGGTGATCTGAGTGCTTGATAGTGTGTTGCTATGCAGTTGCTGTAGGACAGTGATTTTAGTATGTTACTATATGGTTGCTAGAGTGTTTCTCTGCTGTTCTTTTTGGTTGCTAGGGTTTTTCTGTATTCAGAGAGATAGAGAGTGAACAGCATGAAAGTGATTTGCATTTTTACGCATTTCCTGATGCAGAAGCTTCAGTTCTCAAAAACAGTAAATGAAGTGGTTTTGGGTGGAGTCCCATCTGTCTGTCACATTCAAAGTCCCACCCACAAGTGACAGCTGGAATTTGAGTCACTTTGACTGGAAGGATGACAAACACATACTCTCATGTTCATCCTGTGTGATCTCAGCCACACAAACTCACTTTCTAGCTTTGCTGATGTGTGCTGGAAACTCAAGAGTCCAAGCTGACACAAGACAAACCACCCTGGTAACTAGCCTCCAAGAACAGTGATGAAATTCACTAAGATCACAATTCATCCACTCCGATCCATCAGAATCAAATTCACTGATTAATTAGTCATTGTCAATTAATCCATCATTGAAGCTTATGTGTCAATTTCGGTACTAGAAAAACCTACACAAACCAGTGAAACCTTTCCATTAGCTAATATCATAGAGTTACAAACTTATGTGACTTTAAAGGTGACATATTATGCCCCTTTTTACAATATGTAATATAAGTCTCAGGAGTCCCCAGAATGTAACTGTGAAGTTTTAGCTCAAAATACCCCACAGATCATTTATTATATCATTTTGAAAATGCCTATTATGGGCCCTATCATACACCCGGCGCAATGCGGCACAAGGCGCGGCGCAAGTGTTTTTGCTAGTTTCAGCCCGACACAGTTCTCATTTTCCCGTCCTGCGCCTCGTTGTTTAAATAGCAAATGCATTTGCGCCCATTTGTGCGCTCATGGGCGTGCTGGTCTAAAAAAGAGGTGTGTTCAGGCACATTGTTGGATATATGGATCAAATCTGTATAGTAAAAAACGCTATATATATAAAGGTGACTTGACTTGACTTGACTTGACTTGTTAGATGAGGGAGACATATAAAGGGCCCTATCATACACCCGGCGCAATGCGGCACAAGGCGCGGCGCAAGTGTTTTTGCTAGTTTCAGCCCGACACAGTTCTCTTTGGCACAATATTTTTTCTTTGTTATTTAAAGAGTGCGGTTAGTAATATGCGCCTATAGGCGGGTGCACAACGCGCGTACACTTTGCTTATTACACACACAGGGACAGCAGCAGCACAAAAAAAAATTTTAAAATGAAAAATTACATTCCGCCATGTAAATAGCGAACCCGCCATGGCGCGAGCGCAACTGGCTTTTAAAGGGGATGGGAGATGAGACTCTGATTGGTTTAT